TTTCATACCATTAAAATTTTAAATTTCATTGAACATGTTCATACCGCTATTAACAATTATGTTGAAATAAAATCAATTCTGTTTTTTATTGTTTTTTTTTATTCCCAAAATAAACCTGCTGAAGTTTCGTTTCAATGTGTCTGCTGTATTGATTGATTGATACAATCGCCATTCATTGGCCATCTTGCTGTGTACACAAGTTGTTATTGAAACGGTTGTGTCTTAAGTCTTTTGTTTTATGGAAGCCGATTGTTCTCTCGACTGTCCTCTAAAATTATTTGCAGCCGAAAAAAGTGAAATTAATGCTACTGCTGATGATTGTTCACCGTTCATTCATTCATCTTTCTAAAGCAATTATGACGGAGCGAGTGAAATTGTTTTTGTCGGGGGGTTTCTTTGGGGAAGTTTACTGTGTATTTAACCTTCTTTAAACAAAAAAGAAATCTCACCAAACTAAATATTTACCCAGCAAATTTTGGTGTCACTAAAGATCTAAATATCGCAGAGAAAATAATAGTAATTCTGAAAGAACTCTTTTTGTTTTTATTTTTCGTGCAACAAAAATTTAAGTGGTTTATAAGATTGTTACATTTTGAAAGCGAAATTGAAATTTCTATTAAAAAAAATTCAAACTTCAATCAAAAATTATCTTAAGAATGTAATAAGAAAGGTGTATTAGTTAATTAAAACCCAGTAAGGAAAGTAGTAAAGTAAGCAAAATGTTGTGCCGATTGAACCCACCTTGGTGAAGCATTTATACCCAACTTCTAGGGTATACTAACTCCAGTTGTGCAAAATTTGTGTCAATTTTGTATAAAATCAGACGAAAAAATATATATAGAAGCTATATAAAAATCTGAACGGATTTAAATGAGACTTGCCGGAAAATAACATATATTAACTACAGTTCATTGCACAAAATTGTGTGGCAATCGGACAAACGTTGGGTCTTTTGTGCACAATTTACATAAAATCGGAAGACAAAATATATATTAAAGCTATATCTAAATCTGAACCGATTTCCACGAAACTTAACACACATCATTCTAGACTTAATTCATTACGCTATGCCAAATTTCGTGAAAATCGAATGAATATATAGGGGCCATTTACATTAAATTGGACGAAAATATATATGGGAGCTATATCTAAACCTGAATCGATTTTAAGGAAACATAACACACGTCATTCTAGACTTACTTTAGTACGCTGTGCCAAATTTCGTGCAAATCGAAAGATATATAGGGACTTTGGTACACAATTTACATAAAATCGGAGGAAAATATATATGGGAGCTATATCAAAATCTGAACCGATTTTTCCCAATTTCAATGGGGTTCTCCTTGTCCAAATAAGTGCCAAATTTAAAAACTGTGAAAATTTCACTACTCATTAAAATTATCAAAGCCTACTTCAAAAATTGTGATTCTGCTACAGAAGTTAGGGCTGTATTATGCAAGTCCAGCTAATACAAAAACTGAAGGCAGCTGACCGTTCACAACGTCGTAGGTACGTGGAATGGGAGCTTGGACAACGGTGAACGGCAATTTTTAGAACAAAATAAAAACGAACCTTTATACCCTCCACCATGATCTGGACATTTAAAATACGTGCAATCGTTCGGGTTTTCCTATGGTACAGTTTAGTTAGGAAGATTTGACACCCAATGACAACAACATTACAGTAAATTGTGATTAAATACCGAATACCGTTATGTCAGTCGTTTATTTTGAAAGTGACTTAAGTTCATTTTTCTGGCATCGAAATATTTATTTGACTCGTTTCTAAAGTATTTTGTTTGTGGCTGTGTGACCTTAAACATGATAGAATATATAACGTAATATGTTTTGTAAATTTTTCTAGAAAACCAAGATTTTAATCAAGTCCTAAAATGGACTTATACCACTTTCATAATAAACGACTCATATGTAGACTATCGTCAAAAGTGGACCAATATAGATGATTTTCTAGTCAATGAGAATTCAAACTACCAAAAACATGTACTCATAATTCCCAAAATAATGGGTGGTCTCTCCCATTGTCGATCAAAATTAATAATTTTTTTGGTATGAAGATCTGCTACAACGTTTAAATTCAAATTATAGACAATTCGAAATTTTAGGGGTGCCGTCATCTGGGGCTATCGTAGAAAGTGGGCCAATATTGATATTTTTTAGTTGTGTTATCCATTGAGAACCCAATCTTAACGACCGATTTTAAAAATTTTCAGTAAGAAGATTTGATATCCGAGGATAACTGAAAAATCCAAATCACAGCCAATTCGGTGGAAAACGTGTCAATAATATCCAAAATATCGAATAGTTGGTGGTACTGTATCAACAAGGTGGACCGAAATATCGATATATACAAAATTTCAAATCTCTATATTAAATATTGTGTGTTCTCTCGTGATTTCAACGGGCAGACTGTCAATAATTGATATATAATTTTATTCTACTTTGTGGGTTCTCCGGTGAATATTTCGATGTGTTTCAAACTGAATGACAAATTTAATATAAACTCCACCCTATGGAGTGTATATACATCTTATGATGGAGGGTATCACAATTGTCCTATTTGGCCTCTCTTTAATTATTTAAGGATTCTCAGATTCTCAAATAATTGAAAGTCATCGTTCGGCGCGCTCTTTGGTCCGAAGTTGTGACTCGATCATACTTCTTCTAAAACTACGATGGAACGACTATCATTTCGGAGCATTATGGTCATATAATAACCGATATTTTTGCTTGCTCTAGAAGAATACGACTTGGTTGTGTAGTTTCTTGTCCTGGTGATATAAACTGCCCACCAAGAACATTCGATTTGACTACGCGAAATACGGTGTTCATGAGCACTTTAAAACCAACATTCGTGAAGATATGACTGAGATACTTATCCATATGTGACAAAAAGTGGTCGATACTTACCTAAAACCAGTAAGGAAAGTAGTAAAGTCGGACGGGGCCGACTATATGATATCCTTCACCACTATGGGTATATTAAACAGGACTATTAACATGAAATTGAATGAAATAAAATATGTGATATTTATGAAAATGTGAATCTACCTAGATCTATCTTCTGTACTTCTAGAAAACGCAACTGCGTAATTCTATGCTCAATTTTGTAAGTTGTGCAAAAATTGATGTCAAACTGACTAACAATTTACTTGAAATCGGGCGAAAATATATATGGAAGCTCTATCCAAATATTAAGCGATTTCAAACAAACTTGTCACAGGTTAGGTTATACTAATTTCAGAACGTTTCGTTCCTATCAGCCTATTGGTTCCTTGGTGCGTCAATTACTTAAAATAAATCTATATTAAAAGGGAGCTATATCTAAATCTGGACCGATTTTCACGAAACAAGGCAGACATCGCTCTAGGCTCAATGCAGTACGTTATGCCAAATTTCGTGCAAATCGAAAGAGCTATATCTAAATCTGGACCGATTTTCACGAAACAAGGCAGACATCACTCTAGGCTCAATTCAGTACGTTACGCCAAATTTCGTGCAAATCGAAAGATATATAGGGACTTTGGGGCACCATTTACATGAAATCGGACGAAACTATATATGGGAGCTATATCTAAATCTGGACCGATTTTCTCGAAACTTGACAGACATCACTCTAGGCTCAATTCAGTACGTTATGCCAAATTTCGTGCCAAATCTCGTCCAAATCGAAGGATATATAGGGACTTTGGTGCACCATTTATATGAAATCGGGCGAAACTATATATGGGAGCTATATCTAAATCAGGACCGATTTTCACGAAACTTGGCAGACATCATTCTAGGCTCAATTCAGTACGTTATGCCAAGTTTCGTGCAAATCGAAAGATATATAGGGACTTTGGGCCACCATTTACATGAAATCATGAAAACTATATATGGGAGCTATATCTAAATCTGGACCGATTTTCTCGAAACTTGGCAGACATCATTATAGACCTAAATGATTAGGCTGTACCAAATTTCGTGCAAATCGAAAGATATATAGGGACCGTTTACATTAAATCTGTAAAATATATATATATGGGAGCTATATCTAAATCTGAACCGATTTTTCCCAATTTCAATAGGGTTCGTCCTTGGGCCGAATAAGTGACCTATGCCAAATTTCATCCAATTCGGATCATAAATGCGACCTGTACTTTGTTTACAATTTAACATGCACAGACAGACGGACGGACGGACATGCATAAATCGACTTAGAAAGTGATTCTATGCATATTCTCAAAAGGAACCATGTGTCTATCACGTTTCCTTTTGTCTGTTACAAACATATGCACAAAGGCATAATACCATGTACCACAGTGTGGTGAAGGGTATAAAGAGCAAAGCTAGCAGCATTACGTGTGGAGTTTACTTTTGAAGCTACAAAATGGATAACCCTGTTTACTAATTATTTTTCTGAAATCTAAAATTACCAATTACTACTCACTACAACCGTCAATTAAAAAAAATATATATATTTCTCTGTGATACTAAGATAAATAAAATATTTTATATTTTGTTGTTTTATGCTTTATTTATTCTATTATTCTTTATACTAAAATAAATGAAATAAATTACAATAGATTTATAATAGAAATAAATTTATAAATAGGCTTATAAGTATTTACAATAAAAAAAATATTTTTTGTTTCATAAATTTAATTAACCTAAACAAAAACACACTTTGAGATAAAGTTGTCCCTGTTATCATTCCTAAGTTCATTGTTTAAAAAAAATAATTCCAAGTGACTACATATTTAGTTCGTTGAAAATCACAAAAAAGCTTATGATTTACATTTTGGTCCTATGGTACAATACACACCAACGAAAACGAATGACAGTCATATAAACTTTTTATCTTTGTATTCAAAAGGTAGGTGAAGAAATTTAATTTTCGTTATTCAATAATTATTTTAATTATAGATTTCATGTAAGTTTTCTAAAAATTCGCTGACTGACATCCATGTTGTTTAGTGTGTACTCTCCTTATGTTTTCAACTAAAACATTCGATGATTTGCCGGTACATCGGCATGCACACTAACCGGTATCGATTGTGTCGCATCGACTGTCAGATCATTACCGGTTTGATGTGACACCGGTTCATAGGCACTGTAGGGATCACTGCGTTGCCAACTGTTACCGGTTGCTGGTGATGGACTTGCTACGTATGCGGTATAAGTATCTGCCTTGGGTTGTGATGCAGCACCATGAATGTGTAAATGAATTTCCTTACTGGGATGCTCTGAATGATGTTCGTGTTCGTGAACTGGAGCCGAAGACCAACCGGCCGATGATGATGGCGACCAACCCCAACTTGGTGCAGCCGAATATTCAACATGATGATTCCATGATGGTGGTGGAGCTGAATATTGAATTTGTGGTAGAATATTAGCTTTCAGGGTAAAGAATTTAGCCAGGAGGGCCAAAGCATTCATGGCCAAGAGAACCTTGACAAGGAAGAGAGTCTTTAAGCCGATGCCCACTAGGAAAGCCACCATGGCAGTGAGGACACCAAATTTGAAGATAATGGGTATGAGAGCCATTTGTAGACGACGAATTTTGCCAAATGTACGACCTTGTACGCTGCCATCGGAACGTCCTTCTGTAATGGAAAATGAAATTATTTTTTTTAATGGCGTTTAGTTTGTCATTACATAATATATGGTTAAGAACGTGTTGAAATTATTAGAACCATACTATTATTTTTTTTATCGATTGTAGGAAATGTAGGAAATATTTAAAAATGTATTAACATATTATTTTATTTTCAGAGAAAACTGCATATGTCAGAAAAAACAATCCACACATTAATATCGACCATAAATTAAATTTGAGTCCCATTTAGTACCAAATTTCATGATTCGAGCTCTAAACCTACACACCGACAGTGATTCTAAATCCAAGTTTCAGGATTCCAACTTCATAGGTTCACCCACAATTCAAATTGTACCAAATTTAGTACACAGTGGTATGAATTTTCAAAACCTCTTACTTACCCCAAACCTACACCACCACAGTGATCCAAAATATAAGCTTCAGGATTCCAAATCTATCGGTTCACCCACAATTCAAATTGTACTAAATTTAGTACATAGTAGTACCAATTTCCAAAATTCTACACCTCCACCCTAATTCTACACCTCCACGGTGATCACAAATCCAAGTTTCAGGATTCCAACTATACTGGTTCACTCACAATTCAAATTGTACCAAATTTAGTACACATTTCTAAAACTTCCTACATATATCAATCTTACACCTCAACAGAGATTCTGACTCCAAATTTCATGATTCTAGCTCTATTGGTTCATTTAAAACTCAAATTGTACCAAATTTAGAACCATTTAGTACCCATAAGTATTATTTTCTTAAAATGAATCCTGACCCCAATCCCACACCCCTACAGGGATCCTGACTCCAAATTTCATTGTTCCCGCTCTATAGGATCACCCAAATCCCAACTGTACCCATTATAGTACGATTTAGTATGTTTCGTACACATAAGTTACAAATTTCCAAAAGTACGTTTATAACCCAATCCTACACTCCGACGGTAATTTTAATTTCAAATTCCAGGACTCCAGCTCGATTTGTCTCTCCAAATTAAATTTGTACCAAATATAGTACCATACTTTTCGTACACATGAGAACACGTTTTCAAAACCATCTCCATAAATTGACCCTACTTCTCAACCTTAATTCACACTCCAAATTTCAAGTTTGCAAACACTATTCGTTCCATGCCACAGAATTGTACCAAATTTAGTACATTTTCGTACTTTTCGCATAGTTATAGTTCGAATGTTCAAAAACCCTTTGGTACATCTCCACCGGTTCGCCAAATATAAATGGTATCACATTTAGTACTTTTCGTACCGTTCTAGTACGAATTTCCAAAAACCCAGCCTTATCTGTCACCTTTGGACCAAGAGTGACCCTCAACCAAATTTCAGATTTCTAGCTCCAACGGTTCGCCAAATACAAATGGTATCACATTTAGTACCTTTCGTGCCTTTCTAGTACGAATTTCCAAAAACCCAGCCTTATCTGTCACATTTGGACCAAGAGTGACCCTCACCCAAAATTTTAAGATTCTAGCTTCAGCCGTTTCGTCTGGGCGTTGATGAATCGTTAAATCTGTCAGTCAGTCAATCACTTCACTCTTTTATTAGTATAGATAACCTGATTACAAGAATATGTGGAACGAATAGGGATGCCTAGGTTACATGTGATGTATTTCTAAAGTGTTAGACTATAATTAGAGACTGAAATTAACCTGATATTGGTCTCAATATCTCATCAAAGTTCATTCACATCTAACTACAGACTTATTTATTTACCTTTTACTATGATGTGTTAAGTTTTATGAAAATTAAAATTTTACCAAATATTTGGCATTTCACATGAAAAATATTTTTATTTTTGTGTTGGGCATGAAACACACCTTTCATCGCTACTTTGTAATGCTATTATCTATTAACCACATTACATGGCAGTGATTCAACATTACTCAATTTCAATAGACTCTGTTAAAACCGAGGCAAAATTTCAACTACTCAAAATCATGGCAACTGATGGCAGAATGCCAAACCAGCTACATGAGATGAAAATAAGTCATGCGTTTCTTAACTCAACAAAGAGGCTTCGGTTTGTTTTTTTCAAGTCATTCCACAAACGAATAGTGTCTGGACAATGAAAGTGAAATTGAAGTCATAGAAAAAGAAATGAAACGAAGAAGTGTAAAATGAACTTGAATCCGCTCTTGATTTTTTGTTTATTTCTAGCTAATAGGCATTATGGAAAGTTAACAATTTGGCAATGTTTAATAATCATTGCCAAATTTGAACAAGGCCTATTATGGATATTTTCCATGAAATGATTGGGGGTATTTTTCGTTGGCTATGATTCATATAATTTTATGACGTCATTATTATTAGTACTGTAATAGTGAAAGTATTAATGCTTTCTTTGCCAGCAAATAAAATTTCAAGAGCACGCATCATGCCATTTACATTTTTCAAACTCGAATTGATATCAACTGGTATCAAGTTTTAAAATAAATTGAAAAAATCCATATCAAGGGTTATCCCGAATCTTTATTTGTTTATCTATTTATACCCTACACAACTACGTTGTCAGGGTATTATAGCTTTGTGCAGGCCCAAGAGTTTGTAACGCCGTGAAATATTGGTCCTAGACCCACCTTCAAGTATACCGATCGTCATATGTCGGTCTATACATGTGTGTCCGTCCGTCTGTCTGTCCATTATAATTTGTAAACACGATACAGGCCACACTTATGGACCAATGAAGACCCCTATTGTTTTTGGTAAAGATCGGCTAATACTTAGGGGATGAAATGGACCAAATACCTAATTTTTGTCAGTTTTTCTGGTCGCTCCAAAGGCCGCAATTATGGTCCGAACATCGCGAATTTTTACATGGAGAAGGGAATCGGGCCAAAAAATAATCATGCCTCTTTTAATAAAGATTGGTCATATTAAGCGGGTCAAATGGACCCTGACTTTTGTGTGAAAAATGACAAAATTTGTATTCTATGGCGTATATATTTACTCCTGAGGGACATTGACCCTAGAAGTTGATAGAATATCAAGAGGAGTGGTTGACATTTATATTTATACAAATTATATTTATACAAATTATATGGTTGTATGTACTCGGATGTGGGAGTTACACTTAAATATTTACAGGTGCTTACGTATTCAGATATTATATATTAACCCATTATCTCACTAGAGGCCGGAAATATAGCTCTGATCGCTTTGAAATTTTCCATGAGGATCCATGTATGGCCAAGGACAACGCCTATAATATTCGGTGATGATCAGATAATAATTTTGGGATGAACTGGACTGAGAATTTAATTTTTTATATTTTTTTCGAGTCGATCTATAGGCCACAATTGAAAGCCAAACATCGCAACACAACCCAGGGCGAAGGGAATACTGCCAAGAAATTAGAAGGGTTGTACTGAATATTAGTAATATTGGTTGACCTCTAATCGGTTAAGAGTGTGCAAATATCGGGAAATATTGCCACAGAAAGTTAGATTTTCGTGGAAGCTGTGTAGGGCATCATATGGTCGGCCCCGTCCCACTATACTGCTCCGCTCACTGGTTTTTATTTACTTTTTTATTTTTGAACGAATAACTATTCTAAAAATGTACCTTCAAAGACTCTTAAATATATAGAATGTTTTTCGATGAGAAATATCCGAGGTGGAGTTCATATTAAATCTGTCATTCCATTTGCAACAACATGAAATATTCATCGGATACCCCATAAAGTATATATGTATATTCTAGATCAGAATGAAATTCTCTGTTGAAATCACAATATCGCAATATACAAGATAGAGCTTTGAAATTTTGGTATTTAAAATTGACAATATCGGTCCATGTTTTGATATAGCCCCCATATAAGAGTTCTTGAGATTTTCACTTGAAATTGTGTAGAGACATTCTTTAATCAGTGTAGATTCGAATTATATCAACAAATGTAAATAGTGCACCAAGCCCCTATATTTCTTTCGATTCGGACGATATTTCTCATAGCGCACTGAATAATGTCTAAAATGATATGTGCTGAGTTTCGTGAAAATTGTTTCAGATTTAGATATAGCTACCACATATTTTTTTCCGATTTTTAGTAAATTGTACACTAAACACCCATAGTTTGTCCGATTGGCACACAATTTTGTACAATGTACTGAAATTAATATAAATTATTATCTGGCAAGTTTCGTTTAAAATCGGTTCAGATTTAGATAAAGCTCCCATATATACTTTTGTCCGCTTTTAAGTAAATGGTGCACCAAACTCCTAAATTATTTGGATCGAATACGTTATTTATGCGAATTCGATCTAAGTTTTTGGATAGCAAATCATCCTGCCACAATTATTAAAATTGGTCTGCAAACATTCTCATTGAGTTGTAAATCTTTCATTTATAAATTATCAATATTGGCCGAAGTTTCATATAACGGACTTTATGGCAAAACTTCTTATTAAAAATGATCGAAATTGGCCCATTTTTAGGTCCTCCATAATTTTGATTTTGGGGAGTCTGGACATGATTTTCAACCGGGATGGCTCTAAATTGGTACTTTGGGTTCTCATCAATTTTCCTACACAAATTGATCAATATTGGTCCACTTTTTAACGATTCCTCCATACAGACACTCCTACATATGATACATATGAGATCAATTCAAAAATCGAAATTAGAGAGGAATTGTTATATGGAGACTAACCTAAAATTTGAACCTATTTAGATCAGCTTTGGTGGGTAGATTTACTACCCTACCATCCAATAGAAAGTCTACCAACCAAAACATTGATATTAATTCTTCTTATCGAAAAATTTCAATATTGGCTTGCAAATCCTCCCTCCAAAAACTATCAATATGACCATCTATATTACGATAACCCTCATACTTTCGATATTTTGACGATTTCTGATGCGTTTTTCAATTATTATATATTTTTGGTAATGATTAGGTACCTAGAAATATCCAATGTTAGTCCATGATCTAATATAGTCCCTATATATTGGTACACCCATACATTCATTATATTGATTACTTTGGAGTTTTTTTTTAACCCAGTTGACTCTAATTTGATATTTTGAGGTCTGATTGGATTTGATATCCAATATTTCTATCAGAAATTATAATAACCGGTCGATATTTAGATAAACCTCCAGTTAAATATGAATCCAAATTCAGGCAGGTTGATGATCCTAGCCGTAGTATCTTGGCACCATTTTAATATGATATAGTGGTCATATAAAAGTCACAATATGTTCGGTTAGGTACAGCCGAAATCGTTTATAACGACACCGTTTTTAGTAGCATGTCGGTTATGAAGACGGTATAAGTTCTGTATAAAAATTCTGGTATAAAGATTCTACTCTATTTTTATACCCTACACAACTATGTTGTCAGGGTATTATAGCTTTGTGCAGACCCAAGAGTTTGTAACGCCGCGAAATATTGGTCCTAGACCCATCTTTAAGTATACCGATCGTCATATCTAGACTAGCTGAGTCGATCTAGACATGTGTATCCGTCCGTCCGTATGTCCATTATATCTTGTAAACACGATACAGGCCACAGTTATGGACCAATCATCACGAAGTTTTGCATGTAGGATGGGTTCTGGCCAATGAAGACCCCTATTGTTTCTGGTAAAGGTCGGATAATATTTGGGGAATGATATGGACCAAATACTTAATTTTTTTCTGGTCGCTCTAGAGGCCGCAATTATGACCCAAACATCGCGAATTTTTACATAGAGAAGGGGATCGGGTCAAAGAATAAGCTTGCCTGTTTTGATAAGGATCGGTCAATATTTAGCGGGTCAAATGAACCCTGACTTTTGTGTGAAAAATTACAACATTTTTATTCTATAGCGTATAGATTTACCCCTGAAGGACATAGACCCGAAAAGTTGTTGGTATATTCAAGGGCAGTGGCTGACCATTAAATTGATACCAATTATATGGTCGTATGTACTCAGATGTGGGAGTTACACTTAAACATTTACAGGTGCTTATGTATTCAGATATTATTTAGTAACCCTTTACCACACTAGAGGTCGGACATATAGCACTGATCGCTTTAAAATGTTCCATGAAGTTTCAGTTATGGTCAAGGATAACGCCTTAAATTTTCGGTGACGATCAGATAATTATAGTGTTATGAAGTGGACCGAAAACTTAATATGTTTGTGTTTTTTCGAGTCGATCTATAGGCTCCAATGGGAATAAGAACATCACAACACAAGGGAAGGGAATCTGGACAAGTAATTAGAAGGTCTGTACTGAACATTAGTAATAATTGTCGGCCTCTAGTTGGTCCAGATGGTTCAAATATAGCGAAATATTGCACAAGCTCAGAATATAGATCCACAGAAAGTTAGTTTTTCGTGGAAGTTGTGTAGGGTATCATACTGCTCCGCTCACTGGTTATATATTTATTTATAATTTTATTTGTTTATAACAAATTTGGTTATAGCAACCAATTTCGCCTGTCCCTTGACCTTTGAATGTCCACCCCATAATGGAGGGTATAAAAAGTTTGGTCCGGCAGACCTTAAAAAATTTGGTTTCTTTTTAATATTTCCTTTCAAAACGTTGTCTTGATCTCTTTTATTCGATCAAATATTTTTCTCTATCATTTGCCATTTTAGAAATTTACAATCCTATTATTTTACGCTTACATAATATTAATATTACAAATTAAAGCGGAAATTAAATTTTCAATTACCAAAAATCTGATTCAAAATCTAAAATCTACACAAAAAAATCATAAAAGTTTACCTGCAGTTACGGAAGTGGCCGTGTCATCATCGGCACTAAAAAGTCCCGCCGAAATATCAGCTTTAATCCAATTCCAAATACCTCTAACAATACCCCATACGCGTGATGACGCTACATCGGGCCCATCCACGGCAGTTTTTTCTATTGCCACAAGTCAGCAAATGAGCAAAAACAAAAAGTGGGAAGCAATAAAAAAAGAATATCTCGCAATTAATAAAACTCAACGTAATGTTGAATTTCTCTTAGAAATAAACTCTAAATTGTTAAACAATAACTAATGTGATTTGTTTTAAACAACAATAACATGCCTATCGACATATCTATGTATGTTGTAAATAAGACATATAAACCTTTTATTTTTATTAAATAAATAACCGATACTCATAAAAAAATAAACAAGGCCTAATTACTTTTTCAACGGAACAACTATTTCGACAGAATAAAGAAATCAAAATTTACCTGCTGCAACATCATCGTCCGCTCCAAACAGACCAGCCGATATGTCATCTTTAATCCAATTTAAAACACCTCTGACAATGCCCCAGACACTAAACAGAGATTCGTCCGACGATTGTACAGCATTTTTTTCAGCAGCATCATCGTCGTCATCATCATCTTCGCCGGAGTCTTGTTCACCATCGCCAGCATCAGTGTTTGCGGCAGCAACTTCCGACTTGGCCGTCGTCGTTGTTGTTACATCGTCTCCAGTTTCGGTAACGGCTTTTGTTTTAGTATTTGTTGTTATTTTGCCACAATTTACCGCTGTTGTTAGACAACAAATGGCCAAGGTTAATAGAAATAGTTGATGAATTCGGGATTTCGTTATCACCATCATCTGTCGGGGGAAAAACAAAACAAACAATGAAATGGAGAAAACAACAAAATAAATAGCAGCAAGACTATGCGATGAAATGCCAAAAAATGACATTAAAATATTTATTAAATATGTAAATATATACATGTGTGGATAAAACAAACAACAGCCGAACGAGATTTATACGTTCGAACATTTTAAGTAAAAAATTACAAAAAATAATGAAAACGCTTAAGAGCAAACATCCAATATTGCTACATATTAAAATACAAAATATGAACTTCAAACATTATGAAGCAGGTCATTTTTAATTTCGCCATGTGCTGAGCAGTTCGTTTAAAACTTGGCTATTTTTAAAATTATCATGGATAAAAATAGTCGAATTGAAGTCATATGAAAACTAGTTGGAAGGTATAAATCGCCGTTACGGGCAGAAAAATACCCCCACAATGTGTTAGTTCAGTTTTATATGAAGTCTGTGGAGTCGGATTTTAAAAGTCAGGGAATAATGTGAAAAATCTAACATTTAATTCAAACATGAGACTCATGCGATTTATAATTTGTATATACTTCACCATATGATGGTGCGTATAATTAATTTGTCATTCGTTTTGCAATACCTCGAAATATAAAATGTATATACATATATTCTGGACCAGATTAATATTACATATCGGTTTAGCAATGTACGTCTATCCATCACTACTCCAATATAGATTACAATAATTAAGATAGAGCTCTGAAAATGTGCCCATACTCCTCTGATGGTTAGTGCTGAAAGTCGGATATATAGGTCACAATTGTTAATTGTATATTCCGGTCTCCTTCATAGATTCGCAGAATATTTTTATTTCACTATAGTTCCATGTTTTGATATATACAGGACACGCCCCATTTTAAGAAATTTTAATGAACGTGGAGCGCTTTTCCATCAACATGATTTTAACACTAGATTGCCGAAGGCGGTCATTTTTACCGCTTTTCAATTTCAAGTACAAAAACAACTGTGCATATATTGACACTTTTTTAAATTAGGTGACTTTTTTTATAATAAACGTAATTCTATGTGGTACAAAAAGTCACCAAATTTTAAAAAGTGTGGATATATGCACAGTTGTTTTTATACCCTTCACCACACTGTGGTACAGGGTATTATGTATTTGTGCATATGTTTGTAACAGGCAAAAATAATCGAGATAGACCCATGGTTCCTTTTGAGAATATGCATAGAATCACTTTCTGAGTCGGTTTATGCATGTCCGTCTGTCCGTCCGTCCGTCCATGTATTTTTGTTAACAAAGTACAGGTCGCATCTGGATGAAATTTGGCACAGGTCACTTAATTGGCCCACGGTCGAACCCTATTGAAATTGGAGAAAATCGGTCCACGTTTAGGCATAGCTCCCATATAAGGGTACCCCCCAATTTTCGGTATTTTGGGGTTCTTGAGCGCGTTTTTCAACCGAATACGCTGAAATTTGGTACATTGGGTTCTTATTGGGTACTAAATGTCCCCACAAAAAATTATAAATATAGGTCCATTTTTTCGGGTAGCCCTTATATATAGGTACCCCCAGTTTTCGGTATTTTGGGGTTCTTGGGCTCGTTTTATAACTGAATTCTCTGAAATTTTGTACATTCGGTTCTTATTGTGTACCAAATTATTCCACTAAAAATTATAAATATAGTTCCAGTTTTTCTGGTAGTCCCCATATAACGGTACTCCCAAATTATTGGGGGTTCTGATCGTATTTTTCGACCGAATTGACTTTAATTTAGTACATCGAGTTCTTATTAGGTAGCAAATATCTCCACTAAAAATAATAAATATAGGTCCACTTTTTCGGGTACCCCCGTATAAGGGTACCCCCAATTTTCGGTATTTTGGGGTTCTTGAACGCGTTTTTCAACCAAATTCTTTGTAATTTGGTTTTTTGTAGTCGTATATGGTAACAAACCTCCCTCCTAAAAATTACTAATATTCGCCTCCTTTTAGGGGTGGTCCCCTTATAACCACCTTTTTATACCCTTCACCGCACTGTGGTACAGGGTATTGTGTCGTTGTGCATATGTATGTAACAGGCAAAAATAATCGAGATATACCCATGGTTCCTTTTGTGAATATGCATAGAATCACTTTCTGAGTCGATATATGCATGTCCGTCCGTCCGTCCATGTATTTTTGTTAACAAAGTACAGATCGCATTTATGATCCTCCCAATAGTGGTCCGACTAAAGCAATATTGTGCACAGAGTACTGAATTAGGTCCCGACTGATGTATGACAAATTTTGTTGGAATCGGTTCAGATTTATATCTAAATATGCTATATATAGTTTCGTCCGATTTTATGTAAATGGAGCAACATACTGCCAATATTTATCCGATTGAGACAAAATTTTGCACCGCGTACTAAATTAGGTCATTGATGAATGCGAAGTTTTGTTGATATCGGTTCAGATTTAGATATTTAAGGTAAATTGTGCACCAAACTCCCAATATTGGTCCGATTGAAGCAAAATTTTACACAGAGTACTGAATTAGGTCCCGACTGATGTATGCGAAATGTCTATATCTACAGGATATTGTAGATATTAACATATCTTGCATGTACCCATAGTGGTGAAGGGTATCATATAGTCGGCCCCGTCCGACTTTTGAACTTTCCTCACTGGTTTTTTAATTGAAATTGAAAAGCGGTTCAAAATGACCGCCTTCGGCAATCTAGTGTTAATTTGACAATCTAGACCCTTGGATGTTAAAAACGCCGCGAAATATTGGTCCTTTTGGTATTCCGATCAATTATGACCCGAACATCATGAGAAAGGTGTCTGCCCATGGAATAAGCATGATTGTTATGTAGCGGGTCAAATGAATACCTTTTGTATAAAAAATTTCAAAATTTTCTATTCTATGGCTTCTGAAGGGCATAGACCCTTTCAATTGATACTAATTATAGTGATGTATTTGCCCGGATATGGGAGTTATACTAAAATAGTTACTGGTGTCAACGTATTCTGATATTATTTTATAACCCATTACCACACTAGAGGGCGGTGGTAATGGGTTATAAAATAACCCATCATCGCTATGGAATTTTATATGAAGTTTGGGTTTGGGTCAAGGTCTTTCGGTATTGATCAGATGATATATAGGGAATGAAATAGAATGAAAATGTTATTTTTGTCAGGTTTTCTAATCTGCACACGGGAATCGGGTCCACTATTGAAAATGTCTCTTTTCAATATTTTGGGGGGGTTAACTAAGCCATGATATTTGTGTGTAAAATAATAAAATTGGAATCTTATGATTTAAATGTTCAGGAGAGTGCAAATATCGAAAAATGCCCAGACTCGGAATATACAGGGTGAGATAAAATAACTGCAACGAAGTCAAGCGCCATATTTTTAACATTTTTTTTTTAATTTTATCGAATGAAAGTAAAAATGTCGGAAATAACGTCAAATTTTAGAATAAGTTTAGATTTGTTCGCATTGGTCACCTATGGCGCGAATTATGGCCTTCAAACAGCTAATAGTTTTATTGGCCGTAGAGCAACAATCGCTACCCGATTGTTATTCTGCGGTATTTTGGCCTATTCCCGGCGAATCGCTTGCTTGAGGTGATCGACACTTTGGTATTCTTTAGTGCCAACCTTGCTTTCCAAAATACTCCAGACACAATAGTCCAACGGATTGGTATCAGGAGATGTTGGTGAGCATTGTGCGCTGGAAATGAAGCGAGGAACCTCATTTCGTAACCATTACTGGGTGGCGCGTCAACTTTCGCACTCAGGATGGCCATGTTGGACAAAGAATGTTTTCTCATCAAGGAAAACCAAACTCGGCAGTTCACCACTTTCGGCCATGCTCTTTAGCTCTTTTCAGTCTATTCTCTTTCTGTTCCATCAAGAATAACTTTTTTCTGGAAAATCCTGTTGTACGCTTGTAAACAATTCGGACGAGTGGCTTAGAAATGACAGCAGTCTGAAGTTGGTTGCAGTTTTTTCATCTCACCCTGTTTTTCTGCATGCAAAACAGGCTCGTGACAGTTGTGTAGGGTATTACCATTTTTTAGGTATTATCTGCATTTTCCAACAGACGTGGCTGTAATTTAGCATTACGCTTTTTGAGAATGAAATTCTTTTTCATCTGGATTTTTTTCGTCCTATATTTTTGGAAATTTTATTGGCATTAAACGAATCTGCATAGTAGGGGAGGTAACTAAAGGAGTGGACGGATAGAATTCTCAATTCGAATATTAAAATATGTTAAAATGATTACGACCGATTGTGTAAAATTTGGATAGAATCTTTTAAATGAGGAATCGAATAAGGATATAATTTACAAAAATATTCCCAATTCGATTAGACTATAAATTTCATCTCAAATAGTAAAAACATAGTTAAGGTCAGCATGGGCCGAACTTGTTATACCCTCATCCATGGCTGTGCACACAGGCTGGGAAACTGGGGTAGGATATTCAACATATATATCCAACAAACGGCACATTTTAAGGGGGATATTTTAAAATAAAATAAAAACATTTTTTTATTGAAGAGCAATCCGACATGCCACATCGATGAGTTAATTCGGTAAAAAAATTGATGATTAATAATATTGATGATGTGGTGGTACGGCCGTCAATTTACCGAAAATTTGTGATCTTGTTATGTGAAAGCTATACGAAAACTTTAATCGATATTCATAATTTTTGGTAGGAAATTGACATATAATGAAAACCTATGATTTCAAATTCGAGTCAATTCGGTTAAAAAAGGGGCAAAGCCGACCCAAAAATACCGAATGATAGTGGGTACCATTTTATGGAGCCTACCAGGAAACTTGGGCCAATATTGAAAATTTTTGGTATGCAAATTTTCTATTTAATGGGAATTCCCCATGTATATATATATATATATATATATATATAATCGAGTCTCCGACCAATCTTTCGAGGTGTAGCAAACGCAATGACAAATTTAATATATATTCGTCCTTATGGTGGAGGATATAAAGTGCTTTCTACATTAAGCGTAGATTTTGAAAGACATTTCTCAAACATCTATAGACCCATTTTTTAAAGAATTGTGTCATAGACAAACCAGGGGGGATTTTTTAAATAATTTTGTCGAATTGAATCTTGTAAGGCGAGTGTAAAGTTTTAAATAAGGATTATATATTGGGTGGCGCCCGACTTTGGTATTTGTTTACTGCTTTACAATTGAAATCTGGGGCACAGTTATCATCGTAATTTCAAACTTTTCCACATTAAAAAAATCATTGGATCTCATAGTTCAAATTTTTTGACATCTGTCGAACACAAATTAAAGTCTCTTGAATTCTACTGGCAGATAGTACTTGGTGCTTGCATTTCATATAACTACTATGATAAGTCATAATCAGAACCGATTCAGATTAAATATACAGCACATAATAAACCCTATAATGTTTCCATAGAAATTCATAGAAAAAAATTATTTAAAAAAAATTTAAATTCCACCGTGTGACCCTTACTGAAATGTTTTCATTTCCAGCAACATTATGGCAATTATTATGCAAACGAAAAAAAATATAACAAATTATTTGTTTTTTGTCAAATTATCTCAGTCAGGTCAAAATGTAAATAAAATAACAACTTCCACCTTAAACAAACAATGAAAGTTTATGCGAAAATCCGCAATATTATAATTTAATTTGTAAATATTTTATTTAGACATTATGAACAATGATTTACTTTTATTATCGCTGCCACAATTGTGAGAGCGAACATTACTCAATGTCTAGCCTCCTGGTTTCTTGATGGTTCCATCTTCTTTCTTTGTTATTGTTTTCGTTTTTCACACCCCATGAGTATTGTGTAATAATATTCAGATCTGATTAATCCGACACACCGCCACAGTGACATAACTTACGTGTTAATGTAAAAAAGAAGTGATAAACACTAAAATTTCACTTTTTTTCTCTCAACATGATCGTCTTCGATGAATTTGGTTTGAAAAGATCAGTGAATGAAAACGCACACAAACGCAAACACTACCGCACCTTAAACTATGTTGAACGACTTAGATGTTCAGTTTCTATTTCTAAAGGAAAATATCATAAATCCATCTGAAACGTTTTATTTTTGTCAATAAAATGATTTTTGGAAATCAATCAAGAGTTTCATATTTTGGAATTTTTTGAATTCCACTACATGTTTTTTAGTGAATTTAATTTTTTTTTCTGTAACAATTTCACTTTTTAACGGAATATCCCATACAAACCAAAGTCTCATACAAACGAGAATTGACATGTGGGTCGCTCAAGATGAGCGTAGTTTCAATAGGCCTGAATACCGTGAATATATTAACCAAATATTAAAATCCTATGAATTCGACTTTAGCTATAACAGAATTTTGGTTAACAACAAAGCCAATTATTAATACACAAAGAAGCTTTCTCTATTTGCTCCCATGACCTATCCAAAACAAAAAATATATTATTTTTCAAAAAAAAAAAAAATAATAATAAACGAAAAAATACCCTCTTAACTGGTGTCATTAGTCAGTCACCCAAAAATGGAAGATGGTGAAAAAAAATTATCATTAAAATAACGGTCACTTTTGATGTTCGTGGAATTTGACATTTCTTTGTTTTGATTTCGTTTCTTACAACATGCAAAATAACAGTCACACACACACCAAACTAAATATTCGCACATTGCTTAAAAGCTTGACAGAGAAAAAGAAGAAACCCAAGACAAGAAAATAAACAATTAAAAAGAAAACTAAATGCCAGCATATTTCGCATTGTTTTCGTGTGCCGCTAATTGTGTGGGCCCTTGAATACACCACAAATCACTTAGTTTTCATTATAATGACTTCAAAATATCTAATATTTCAAATGATTACAGTTAAAATAAATTATTCATTGCCAAATCTGTTAACAGATTGACCATTGTTTGTAACAAATATTTATTTCAATGAAAATTAAAAAAAAATAAAATACAAAAGATTTTGAAATTTCTATATGGTATCAAATGAAATGGGTCATGGGTCGAAACTATAAATTCATTGTTCTATATTGATTTTAAATTCTCTGGCAAATGTTCTTGTTATTGTTCCAATAAGAATGCCTTCATGTTTGTTTCTTAAGTCTTTTGTTTTCTATTAATTAAGTTTCACTTGTTTAAGCAGAATTGTTTCTGACTTTATATCTCCCCGCCGATAAGGTGGAGAGCATATTAATTTTGTAATTCCTTTTACAACACCTTGAAAAAATCACTGGATACCCTAATTTTATGTCGAATAAGGTGTATTTGCGCCAGCCTGTCTGTTGAAATTACGATAGAGTTCGCAATATTAAAACCAGTGAGCGGAGCAGTATAGTCGGATGGGGCCGACCATACGATACCCTAAACAACTACCACGGAGTTCTAAATTTCTGCGGATGTTTACTCCGAGCCTGGGTAGTGATGTTCGGCTTATAATTGTGTCATCCCAAAATTATTATCTGATAATCACCGAAAATTATAGGCGTTGTCCTTGACCATAAATAGAAAAAATTTGTAGTGATGTTCGGCTTATAATTGTGGCCTATAAATGTTCGAAAAATACAAAAAATGGGTTACAAAATTATTATCTGATAATCACGGAAAATTATAGGCGTTGTCCTTGACCATAAACAGAAAAAATTTCAAAGCGATCCGCGCTATTTTTCTGCCTTCATGTTTGGTAATGGGTTACTAAATAATTTCCCGCATCCGAGTACATACGACAATATAATCGGTATCAATTTAAAGGTCAACCACTCCTCTTGAATATGCTATCGACATCTCAGGTCTTTGACCTTCAGGGGTAAACATATACGCCATAGAATACATTTTTTTTTAATTTTTCACACAAAAGTCAGGGTCCATTTGACCCGTTAATTATTGACCGATCTTTATAAAATCAGACTTGTTTATTCTTTGGCCCGATCCCTTTCTCCATGTAAAATTTCGCGATGTTGGGGCCATATTTGAGGCTTTCGGAGGCCCCAGAAAATCAGACAAAATAAAGTTTTTGGTCCATTTCAACCCCTAAATATTAACCGATCTTCAACAAAAACAATAAGGATCTTCATTGGCCAGAACCCATCCTACATGCAAAATTTCATGAAGATTGATTCATAACTGTGGCCTGTATCGTGTTTACAATGGACAGACGGACGGACACACATGTCTAGATCGACTCAGCTAGTCGAGATATGTCGATCGGTACGCTTAAAGGTGGGCCTAGGCCCAATATTTCACGGCGTTACAAACTCTTGGGTCTGCACAAAGCTATAATACCCTGACAACATAGTTGTGTAGAGTATAAATAGCACTTTGAAATTTTACACAAACATTGTTAGTACTCTTTGAATGTTTAATATTGAATATAGGAGATATTGGGATTTACCGTTTTTTATTGACCCCATATAACTGTACCCTCATTATTCGGTAGTTTGGGGTTCTTGGGCCCGTTTTTCAACAGAATTTTACTAAAATTTTATTTTTCTGGTTCTTATGAGATCAAATCTTCCTAACAAAAATTATAAATATGTGTTAACATTTTGGACAAATCGCGCTCTTCATTTCCTCGATATTTGATATAAAATTTACAAAAGAGCAACAAGAATGGCTGGTTGGGTCCATCATAATCTAGGTTGGGTGAAAATATTACGATGTGCCAATATTTTATGCAACTGACTATTCCGTTCGTTTCATATGAGATTTACATATCTTTGGGGAATTACTAGAAGGAGTGGATCGATGGATCTCATATTTTAACATAATACAGGCTTGCTTAAAATATAAGGTTGTACAAAGTTTGGTTCACATCGAATACTTTTATATTTTGTTTTGGTTCATATGTGGAAAATATCCTTATCGAAATTTTCTATATCAGGGCCTTACAAGAGTTGTTGGAAAAGTTTAGATGTGTTTCAAAATTTATTTCAATATTTATACCATACACAACTCTTTTGTCAGGATATTATAGTTTTGTGTAGTCCCAAGAATTTGTAACGCCGCGAAATATTGGTCTAAACCTACATTTAAGTGTGTG